AGTTAAAACCCCCCCCCCCCCCCCCCCCCCCTGTTATGGCGTTGCTGCAGCCTCCCTTCCCTCTGGCCATCATCACCAGCGGCTTCCTGCTGGCTTCCGACCAGTACACCGCCTATGCCGAGCGGCTGGCCAGCTGGGGGTACACAGTGGTGCTGTGGGACAAGAAGGAGACGGCGCTGGAGCCCATGAGCGACACTCTGTGCGTGGCCTTCCTGCGGGAGATCGTGGACTGGTGCGGCGCCGACCCGCTGCTGCGCCAGCTGGCAGACACCTCCAGAGTGTACCTGTGCGGGCACTCGCGCGGCGGCAAGCTCAGGTGCGGCGCCGGCGGGTGGTGGCGGCGGCGAGGCGGCGGCGCGGGCCGGGGACGGTCGCCGAGGCGGCGTGCTGCACTATGTGCCGGCCCTGGCCGGGTGTCCGGACCAGCGCAGGCCTTGACGCCTTGAAACTTAGCCCCACACCCTCTCGCACCGATGCACCTGCCCCCTGCAGCACGCTGGCCGCGCTGAGCGACGAGCGTGTCAAGGCGCTGTTCCTGCTGGACCCCGTGGATATCACCGTGTATGCGCCCCTGGGCCCCGACTACCCCTCTGCGGTGGCGGGCCTGGAGGGGCTGGGCGCCCAGGGCCGCTCCCTGCCGCTGGCGGTGGTGGGCAGCGGGCTGGGCGGCGACTGCGTGCCGGCAGGCAAGAGCGCAGCGCAGGCGCCGCCGCTGCTTCACGGTTGCTGCTGCCGCGTGCCGTGCGGGGAGCTCTGTTGGAGAGCAGCGGGCATGTTCGGAGCTGCCTTGCGCTCCTCTGATGCTCGGAGACCTCACTGTTCCCTGCCCCTGCCCCCCTCCCCACCCCACACCCCGGCTTCCCGCCTCTCTGCCCCAACCTGCAGACAGCAATTACTCGGTTTACTTTGCAGCCGCCTCTGCTCCCGCTTGGGAGGTGGTGATCCGCAACGCCGGGCACTTCCAGGTGCGCCCCTCGCTGGCCCCAGCCAGCGCTGGCCTTCTGGTGCACCCCCACGGGGCTGGCGGGCATGAGAGCCTCGCTAAGCAAGCTGCCCCTCCTTCCACCCCTCCCTCCTCCTCCTCCTTGCCGCCGCCCGCAGTTCCTGGGCAGCCGTGGCGGAGTGATGGATGCCATCTGTGCCGTGGGCAGCGCCCCAGACCCTTCCGTGGTCGCCCTCACGCAGGCTGCCATGGTGGCATGGGGAGAAACCATGGTGCGGGGCACAGGAGGCAGCGGCGGCAGCGGCGGCAGCTCCGTCCGCAATAGCAGCAGCAACGGCAGGGACGCACCGCCCCGCAGCGGCTCTGGTTCCGGCGATGCAGCTGAGTCCGGCACGCAGGCGCTGCCGCCCAGGCTGCGCATGGGATTGGACTCTGACGGCAACATCGTGGCGGGGCTGGCCAGCTGGGATGCCGCCAGCCGCCTGTTTGCCACCAGCGAGCAGGCGCAGGCGCTGCTGGCGGGCAGCGGCGGCGGCGGGGCGGCAGCAGATATCGACATCCGCCTGAAAAACTTTGAAATTGTGGTGTACCAGGAGTGAGGCCGGCCTTGCTGCTCTGGCGGTACATACATTTAATGCATTATGATGGCCACTGATGCGCTAAACAGCAGTCCGGCAGTTTGCGGCAATGCCAGCGCATAGGCAGGGAGACAAGGAATTGGGTTGGCTGAGCTCAGGTATCTGATCAGGCATGAGGGAGAGGGGGGCACGTACGCATGGGACAGCCAGGGTCCAGGCACTCAAAAGTTTGCCCCTCCGCCTAATGACAACAACGAAGAATAGGATGACTGAGTCGGTGCATGCAAGGTTGTGATAGTGAATTCAACAGGTTTGACGCTGACGCGGTGGGCGCAGGAAAAAACTGGAATCGGTGGTCACGAGTTTGCCCATGTTGAGCTTTCCACACGGTAGAAAAGGTTTGGCAGAGTTAACTGAGATCAGCCTTGCGGCAAAGAGATAGTGCCACTGCGCCCATTCGCAGTGATGAAAAGACCGCTCTTCCCGCCGCTGACTAACCTACTCCGGTTGCTGCTGCTCATCCAGTCCTGGCGCCAGGTCCTGCCAGAGCTGCGCATCCCAGCCCAGCGGCAGCAGGTCCTGCGCCAGCTGCTCATCTCCCCACACGCCCTGTCCCGCCCCCACTACGGGCAGCACGGGCGAGGGCAGCTGCCCGTCCTGGTGCCCCAGCAGCGGCAGCAGCTGCCCCTGCTGGTACAGTTGCAGCTGGGCTGGCGTGAGCTGGGGCAGCGCCGCAGCACCAGGCACTGCAGGGTTGCCTGCACCCGCTCCAGGCACCGCGGCAGGGCCGTCGTCCCGCTGCTTCAGGGGCGGCGGCAGCCTGGCCTGGTACAGACCGGGGCCCACCCGCCGCACGCCTTTGAACCTGAATGCAGCGGGTCGGTATGGGCGTGCATGTGATGGAGGGAAGGTGCACTCTGGCGGCAGCAGCCAGTGTAGCAGAGGGCGTACATGCACAGGCACGGCGAACATGCTACGCGCGCCCTGGCAGCGCCCCCCGCGCTCACTTGGAGGTGCGGCAGCAGGCCATGTGGGCATCCTTGCGGATCGCCGCCACCACCGCCTCTCCCGAGTGCGCCTCCAGCGTGGCCAGGTGGCGCTGGTAGGTGGCCATGGGGTAGTTGGTCTGAAAGCAGGAGGCGAGGCATGCCGCGGGCTGGTCAGTTGCAACCCATTGGAGGCTGCTTCATGTGCCAAGCTTCGGGCTGGTCCCAGGAGGCACGGCAAATGAGGTAGCCAGCCAGCCAGCCAGCACCAACCACCTGCGCCTCCCTGCCCAGCAGCTTGAGCGCCGCAAGGTCCACCGCCCTGCCTGCCGCCTCGCGCGTGGGGAACTTGCCCAGCCACAGCGCCTCCTGCGCCAGCAGCCAGCATACCAGGGAAGCAGTCGACTAGGGTTGGCGGCTGAGAGGGTCGGGCAAGGGCCAGCAGCGCTCACACACTGTGCAGTGGTTGGTTGGCAGGGCAGTCACGAGTGCGGTAAGAGGCAGCACAGTCCCCCACCTGCTTGAAGCCGGCCATGAATGAGCCCGCCTGCGCCATGTCAGCTGGCGCCTGCTGCGTGGCGGGTGACTCCAGGAAGGCATCCCAAGTGAGGGAGTTGAGGTCCCGCCTCACGCCCCGCATCTCCGGCTGCAGTGGCAGGTGCTGGGTTGGCCCGGTGGCTAAAGAGCAGCAGTTGCGCCGCATGGCACCGTGCATGGCAGCGCTTGAACAGGCATGCTGCTGCCCCGCCCCTACTCACCGCCCTCAGGCTGCTCTCAGTGTTGCCCACAGGACAAGGCAGCGGCTCAGAGGCGGCGCTCTGCAGCTCACGTGCCACTCCCCGCAGGATGCTCCCAAACCCGGCCTGCAAGTGTGCAGTGGTGGGCGGGAGGCGCGGGTTGATCAGAGCAGCAAGAGAGGCCTGGTCGCATGGAAGCCAGCGAGGGTGCATGGGGCAATGGCCACGGCGGCAGCAGCACCTGTGGAGGCTGGGCGCCCGCCCTGCCTGCCGTGGCACCTCCACCACCACCACGGGTGCCTGCTGAGGGTGCTGCCTGTGCCTTGCCACCTCCTCCCGGGCCTGCCCTCGACTGTGCTCCAGATGGCTGCTGTGCCTGCCGAGGCAGGCCCTGGGAGGGTCCGCCGCCTGCTGCTGTCTCAGAGTGGCCTGGTCCCGGGGAGGAGGCGAAACGCGCCTCGGGCGCCAGCTCAGCCAGCAGCTGCGCCGCCGCCTCATGTGGCACAGGTGTGCTCTGCACCAGCCGCAGGGCTGCTGCCCCAGCTTGCGCCGCCCGCTCCTGCTGGCCGACCAGGTGGAGCGGCGGCGAGGGCGCTGCGGCCAGTGGCAGGCTGGGGTGCCCGGCAGGGGACCCTGAGGGGCTGAAGGGGGTGGCGGCATGCGCCTCAAACAGGCTGCGGACGGCTGGCAGCTCCCTGCAAGGAAGCAGGCGATGGCTAGCCCTGGTCGTGGGAAGCTGACGGGAGCTCATGCACGGGCACATCACAGCGCTCTCCTACCACCGCACTGGGCATGGCGTGCCCTGCGCTTGCCTGCTCTGCACGGCGGTCGCCGCCATGCCGGGGCCGGGGCGCAGCACGCAGCCGGTCTTGGCGCTGCACAGCGCGGCAGCAGCACAGGCAGCAGTGCAGCACGTTGCAGCTCGGGTGCGGCGCCGCAGCAGGTTGCCATCCTGATCTGGTGGTTTGGTGCTGCCAATTTGCAGGCGGCGGCAGCCCTGCTCACTCCACAAGGAAGCCTGGCCCCAGCTGCGTGGGGCGCTCCTGGGCGGAGCCATCCCGTGGCGCGCTTCCGCTTGCCGCTGGTCTAGATGTGCTGCCTGCAAGCAATCACAGGTAGCAGCAGCAGACATTCGACGGGGTCCACTGATGAATGAGGCTGGTTGGCACGGTGCCTGTTGGTGGTTGCGTGGGCAGAGAGAGCAAGTGAGCACCTCTGGGCTCCCGCTTGCGCTTCGCTGCCTTTGGGTTGGTGGCGCCCGCTGCGGCAGACGTCGCCGCTGCTCCCACCGAAGGGAAGCTGGCGGCAGGGGAGGCAGAGTCAGGGACCGAGGGGCCCCGGTGTGGCGCCAGCACCAGCTGCTGCCCCGAAAAGGCACCCTGCAGGGGACAGCTGGTAGGGGGGTGGTGTGGCTTGCGGCAGCGACCCAGGATGGCAGCACCTGACAGAGTGCGGCCTGACAGGGAATGGGGTGTAGCTTCACACCTCACCGGGTGCAGGGTGGTCACCGCCTGCCCGGCCGCCTGCAGCACCCTGCCGGTGCGTGGATCAACAAACACCGGGGTCATCACCGCCTGCGAAACGACAGGGGACCAGAGGGGGCGCGGGTGTCAAGGAGGTGTGGTTCAACTGGGAGGCATGTGTCGCATGAGAAAGCACCAACAGCGCCCGCAGAAAAGCAGGGCCTGCCTGGTACATTGGGGTGGCATGCGGCAGGTGGGCCGGCGGCTGGAGGCCGGCCAGGCCGGTCGCCATCTGGTGCCCCAGCAGGATCTGCTGCTGCTGCATGTACTGCTGGTACTGCTGGTACTGCGCCTGCATCTGCGCATACTGCTGCTGCTGCTGCTGCTGCTGCTTCAGGGCCGCAGCCTGCTGGCGCCTGGCAGCCCTGCCGCCTGGTGCTGCAGCAGACGGAGTTTCCAGCGACGCCAGCAGGCTGCGGGCGGCTGCCGCCTCGGCGAGTGCAACTTGGCTTGGCAGGGCTCGCACTGCAGCTGGGTGGGGAGGACAGGTGGGCAGGTGCATCAGGCAAGCCTCAGTGTTGCTTTGCAAAACAGCGGTGGGCCCTGGCCAGCCATGGGGTGCCCCTTGCACTGGTTGGGCAGGGCTGAGGCTGCGCCTCACCTGTGTGCGCCGCCTCCTCGGTGAGTGGGGCAGCGGCCCTGGGCGGCGTGGCGTTCTCGCCCGTGTCTGGTGAAATAAGGGCGTCAAACTGCGGCACCGGGGGCGGCGGGCAGGTGAGCATGGGGGTGCAGCACCTGGTGCAGAGGAGCAGCGACGAGGAGCGGGGGCCCAGCACAACAGGATGCGGGCCCAGCCTTAGCAGAAGGCAGCCTGCCTGCGCCGCCAGCAGCTCGTCGCCATCTTGGCCGGCAAACAGCCGCTCCAGCTGGCCCAGAGACGGCTCCGCGCCGGCGCTCTCCAGCTGCCTGCAGGGCGGGGAGGGAGGTGGGTGGGCACCCCATGCCACACGGGTGAGAGAGGCAACGCATGCCATTGCCATGAGCAAGCGGGTGGCTGGCGGGCTGGCTGGCTGGCGGGCGGGCAGAGAGGCAGGTATCGCCCTCACATGATCCCGTCCAGAAAAGCCTCGTCGCTGGCACCGCGCAGCAAGTCGGCGGCGATGGAGGGCAACGCTTGCGAGAGGCGGCGCACCACAGACGGAAACAAAGCATTGCCAAGGGGGGCTGCTGGGCCCTTCATTTGTGGGCCCAGCGGGGCGGGTGGCGCCTGCGCAGGGAGGCCGCCGGACGGGGCTGGCGGCGACCAGTAGTGCGCGGCATCCTCTGCCTCCAGCCCCGCCTGCGGCGCCTCGAGCTGCATGGCTGAGGCACCTCAACTGATCACGCCAGAGCTTGTGCAGCCACCACCAGTGATTCTGGCTGCGGCAGGCAGCACAGAGAGCGGCAGTGGGGTGCAGCAGAGGGTGAAAAGGAGTGAGGCACAAAGTACAGTCGGGTTGGCCTCGTGCGGCTCTTGAACGCTCTCCCGGCACCTTGATCGCTCGACACAGGGTTTCGGGGGTGAATGGCGGGGCGCTTAGGGCAAACAGGGCGCTGTCCAACGTCTCTAGGGCCTCTCGGCTGGCTGTTTAACGCGCCTGCCCTTACCAGCGCTTTCTAAACACTCGTGCACTCAGTACGAGGGCAACAAGAGGGCGCCTGGTCGATGAGCACGTCCTGACGGAACAGACAGTCGAAGTGCCGCCACGTCAGTGCCAGGCGGGCGAGGCGCAGGCGCCGCTCGGGTGTGATCAGACAGGCATCAAACGTTGAAGCTGTCGCCGCTCAGGGAGCATTGCAACGACAGTTCACACTTCTGCTTCTTCTGCTTGGTTGGCTGGCTGTGAACAGTTCGCTCGGTAGCGCTGAGTCGTTTCAAACGAAGTGCCATTTACAAGGTTCAACACAAGAGGGGGTCTTGCCACAAAAAAGCAGGCTAGAGAGGCTGACTAGTCACCACAAGAATAGTTATGAGATGAAGGGAAGGAATCGGTGAGAAAACAATTGTGCTGGTGGCGCATTGGTGCCACCTCTGCCGCCGCCGCCTAAGACAGCAAGCCAGCCATGCCAGACTTGACAGAGTTGAAAACGTCCTGCGCGCCGTTGCCCACAGTGCCCAGCACGCCCTTCACCTCCTCAGTGATCTGCAGGGCACAGCAGCAGGAGAGGCAGGAGTCGGGAGCAGGGCGACGGGAGGATGACAGCCGTAGGCACCAAGAGCAGCCGCCGGCACCACTCGCCTTGGCGATCAGGCTGTTCATGTCGGGCGCCTGGGTGCCGTCAAACACAAACAGCACCTTCTCCACCGACTCGCCAAAGGTCTTGCCTGGCACCTTGCACTCCTTGGACTTGAACCTGCAAGAGGGTGGGGGGGGAGGCGGAGGGTTGGGGAGCAGACGGGAAAGGAAAGGGTGGGTGCAGCACTGGCCCCTGCGCCTGCTCACGCTGGCGCCTTGTGGTACTTGGAGGTGAAGTTGGCGGGGTTCTTGCTGTAGAAGATGGAGGGCTCGGTGCAGTTGAGCACCTGCGGGCAGGCGAGCAGGCGGGCAGGAGCAGAGGATCAGGAGGTTGTGCAAGGGGCAGATCCAGCGCAGGATGTAGCTGTGCAGGCGCAACCCCCCTACCTTCTGGCCGTCTTCCATCCACTGGGTCCGGTTGAAGGAGCAGCCGCCCAGGGAGAAGGTGACAGACATGGAGCTGCCGGTGAAAGAGGCAGGCACCTTGACGCCTGCAGAGAAGGGCAGCACGACACGCGGGGATGAGCAACAAGTGGCGCCCGCAGTTCAGGCTGGGGCTGGGGCAGCGGCGGCAGGCAGCTGGCATCCATGCCACTTCCACCAAGGCAGGGAGAGCGGCTCGTGCTCCCAACTCACTGGGGCTGAAGGAGGCTGGCGTGCAGTACTGCGCCTCGGCGGCGGCCACCACCGTCTCCAGCTCCTCGGCCACTGCAGCGTACTTGGTGTTCAGGGCCGCGTGCAGCTGGTCCACGCTGGCGGAGATGGGCGCCATGGAGGCGGCCAGGGCAGACTGCGGGCAGGCAACAAGCGGGCCGGGGAGGGGCGGCAGGGCGGGAGGTCGGTTAGACGGGCAGTGGTGGCATTGCTGTGATCAAGTCGAGGCAGGTTCACACCACTGAGGATGTCCTGCCCACGGATGCAGGCCGGCGACAGTGGCAGTGGGGTGCCTCGGGGGACTCATGGGAGACCCCGAGGCGCCCGCGGCTGCCCGCCGCTTACCTTCACCGAGGCGACCATGCCGCCCTGTGGCATCATGCCGCTCAGCAAGGAGGTTGCGGTGGCTGTGGAGGCGACGCCCGTGTCCACGGCGCGTGCCCCTGTGCCGAGAAGGCACAACGCCATCAGCACGACCAGCTTGCCGCAAGCCATCTTCCCGTGTAAGGTGTGGGAAGGCAGAGGCTTCTACAAAGAGAGGGATAACAGGGGCACGGCTGCCTCGCGCCTTGAAATCCACGGCCCGCCATGTGCTGAGCCTGCTGTGCTGGCGGGACTGTCGGCGTACTTCTGTGCCTGGAAACAGTCGATTGCATCCTGCTGCCCGCATGGCGTAGCAAAGCACGCATGGATGTGAGATTATCACAGAATAGCCTGGATTCGAATTGACAACAGAATGCATGGGAGCCAGGCCTGCGCACCGGGTGACACAAGCCTGCGCCCGGCAACCTGCGCTGGAAAAGCGAGCGGCGGACTTGGGCGCCAGCTTCGGAACAGCCGGGAAAACCATCCTGTAATCATCTTGACCCTTTCGAATCTTTCTTGCAACCAAACGATCTGGAAACACTGGGGGCTGTGCCATTGACCGCAACGCAGCACCCCAAAGTGGCCAGTCGGCGCCCATCGCCGCCATCTGGGCAGAGGTGAAGCATCAGAAGGCCAGCACCCTCCCAGAAAGTTACAAGCACACTTGAGTTCCAATTCAAATTACGCGAAACGATTCCCATTCATATCCTCTGGCTGGCGCCAGCGCTGGCGGGTGCAGGTACATGCTGGCAGTACTGCTTGGTCAAACCTTGCGAAAAATAGCAGACAACCCGCATCCCGCCCTGATCAACGCCTTGCAGCTGCCGGAGATCGCCTCCCCGGCCCTTCCCAGCCCTTCACCTCCCGTCTTGAACATCATGCGCTTCAGTTTCGCAGTGCTGCTGGCGCTTGCGCTGTGCGGCCTTGCCAGCAGCGTGCAGGCCACGGATGCCACGCTAGATCAGGCTATCGCCGGTGGGCAGGCCGCGCAGCTGGCTGGGGGTGCCTGTCCCTTGCTCTTCTGCTGCATGGCCCGCAGGAGACCCAAAACACACGGGCTGTGGTTTCACACCGACTTTCCTGCGGGTCCCCAACACATTGCAGATGCGGTGCGCAGCGTGCTGGCCCCCAAGGCGGAGCTGGTGAATGCCGCCAAGACGACGTTCACCACGGTGCAGTCGGGCCTCAACACGCTTCAGAGCACCCTTGCCGCCGCCTATGCCAACGCCGGCTCGCAGGCTGAGGCAGCTGTGGCCGCCTTCGAGGCGCAGTACTGCAAGCCAGCCAGCTTCACCCCCAGTGAGTGGGGCGGGTGCCGCTCGCCGCTGCTGCCGGCCGGGAACTTCTCTCTTCGACACATTTGCCCCTGGGGCGGCCACCCCATCCCAGCGACCCCATTCATGAGTATCTCATCCTAAACTCTCTGCAGGCGTCAAGGTGCCCGCCACCTTCACCGGCCACTCCATGTCCGTCACTTTCTCCCTGGGCGGCTGCTCCTTCAATGAGACCCAGTGGATGGAGGAGGGCGAGAAGGTGGGAGGGCGTGCCGGCTGAGCAGGCAGGCCTGTGCTACCATGCTGTGCCGCTTGGCGAGACCCCAGCAGCAAAGTAGTGCCCACATCTTCAGAGGTGGCATACGTGCACGGCAGCGCTGCTGCAAGGCCCCTTGAGCACCCTCCCGCCTACCAACTCGCAGGTGCTCAACTGCACCCAGCCCTCCATCTTCTATGAAAAGACCCCCGCCAACTTCACCTCCAAGTACCACAAGGCGCCAGCGTGAGCAGGGCAAAGGGGGCGGTGCTGCACCGACCCTTTCCTTTCCCGCCTGCACCCCAACGCCTCCGCCTCCCACCCCCTTGCAGGTTCAAGTCCAAGGAGTGCAAGGTGACCAAGACCTTTGGCGAGTCGGTGGAGAAGGTGATGTTTGTGTTTGACGGCACCCAGGCGCCCGACATGAACAGCCTGATCGCCAAGGCGAGTGGTGCTGCTCCAGCTGCACTACCAGCTCCTCGAGTTGCTTGCTTGCCTGGATTCCGGATCCGGGCTGATGGGCGCCTCGCTTCTTCTTCCCGCCCCGCAGATCACTGAGGAGGTGAAGGGCGTGCTGAGCACTGTGGGCAACGGCGCGCAGGACCTGTACAACAACGTGCGCACCACCGCCGGCAGCATGTGGGGCGGCGCCAACCCCAGCGTGCCCAACTTCCAGTTCTCCTGAGGGGCCTGCCCCCCATGCTTCACGCCAACTGCCTCAGCAGGCACACTCACCGATCCTGGCCCCATAGCTCTCACAGGTGTCCCCTTGGTCCCCATGCGCTGTGGCGCTATGCTGCGGCACAAGGGGACCCTGCATGGCGGTGGTGCCTCGGCCCCCGCCCCTGTTGCATTCTCGGCTGCCTCCCTCCATTCACGTTTCATGCTGGGCAGCTGGCCGATGCTGAGCCTGGCAGCAGCAGCCATCCCTCCAGCAGGCCCAGACAGCTGCGCTTCCATCTTTTCCAGATGTTGATTTGCTTGGCTCTCGCTCGTACAACACTTTACAGACTTGACTGAGGTGTGTGGCACTTGGCGCCAGCAGTTTGCAATTCATCATAACATAGCAACAAGTGTGGGATACAACCGTAAGCATCTATGTGACAAGCTGAGTAGATGCAAGGCGGGGAGGGGCACGCCACGCGGCCCCACCCAGCAGGTGTCTGCCCACCCTCACAACGCCCGCATCGACTGGCTCCCTTAGTCCTCTTCGTCCATGGAGGGCAGCGCCCCGTTGTTCTCAGCCTGCTTGATGGCAGCCTCCAGCGCCCCGCTGGCCGAGGCAGCCTCCTCTGCCGCCCGCTGCGCGCGCTCCAGCGCCTCGAGCACCGCAGCAGTGGCCGCCTCGTGCTCCGCCTGCAGCATGCCGTCCGCCAGCATCTGCCCCACCTGCAGAGCAGCAGAGCAGGGGGCGGTGGCGGGGTGCTTGTGGGGGCCGCAGGCTTGCGGGCTGGCCCGGTGGGCGCCAGCTGGCAGCAGGCTGGCAGATGGCCGCCATGGGCAGAGCTGCCACGCAGGAGGGCGGGCCCACCTGTGCCAGCCGCTGCTCCGGGTCCATGTCAGCATCTAGGGCGCCAGCCACGCGCGCATCATCCGCATCCTGCGCCGCCGCCGCTGCCGCCGCCTTCTTGTTGCCACGCGAGCGCGAGCGCCAGGCTGAGATCCAGCGCTGCGCGTCTGCCTGCCTCCTGCCCACCGCCACCTCCCGGGCCGCCGCCGCCGCCTGCTGCGCCACCTCGGCTGCTCGCGACACGGGGCGAGGGGTGCCGTTGGCACCCAACGCCGACGCGGTGGCGGCGGCTACAGACTCGGCGGCGCCGGCGCCCAGCCGCCGCGACGCCGCGCCGCTGCCAGCCAGCGCCAGCCCCAGCTGCTTGCGCACTTGCGTGAGGGTGGGCGTCAGCGACTGCAGCGGCAGTTTGAGGCGTGGGTGGGAGCAGTCGCATGCTTGCCGTGTGCCGCCCTCAGCCTCCACTTTGCGCCCAAGGCAGCGAAGCACCCTCTTCCACCCACGCCCCACTCCGTACCCACCCCACCCAGCGCACACGCCTTCCAGCACAGCGAGCGCACGTTTGTGAGCGACCTGATGTCATCCACCACCCTGCGGATGGAGGTGGACGTCACGCTCTGCACAGTGCTGCTGGTAGTCTCCGCGGCCTTGCCCACCCACTGCACTGGCTCCCTCACGGGCTTGACCTGCGGCGGTGGCGCGCCAAACAACACAAAAAACACATGGTGGGATGTGCTGGGCTTGCAAGGAGGAGCCTGGGCCGGCGCGGAGGCTGGCGAGCAAGCAGGCGGGCCCAGCGCTGCCCCCCTGGCTGTCCGCTGCATATCACTGGCCGCTGCAGTTGATGCGGCCGGCCATGGCCATCCTTGCTGCCGCCGCCGCCGAGCTCACCACCACGCCCGCCATGTAGTTTAGCTGCTTGCCCAGGATCTCAAACTCCTTGCTGGTGCGCTGCATGTCCTGGAAGGTCAGCGGCATGTCCTCCTGCATCATGCGCGCCGTGCGCTCCATCTCCTGCACAGCGGGCGGCCGCACAGGGGGCGGCAGCTGTGGGTGGGTGGCAGCACGGGCAGCAGGCAGGGCGGTAGAAGCATGGGCCAGCTGGCGTGGAAGAAGGCGGGCGCGAGTGAGGAAACACAGGGATCGAGGGCGGGTGCATTACGCTGCTGACCCCCCCTGGGGCCCACCCGCCAGCACACCCACCTGCGCCGCCACCTCCATCTCTTTGGCCGCCTTCTCCGCCGCCGCTGTGGCCCGCTCGGCTGCTTGCAGCACGGGCCGCAGGTAAAGCACAAAGGCGATGAAGCTGCCGGCCACGGTGCTGACTGTGACGCCGACCACCACGATGAGGGTGAGCCAGGAGGTGGCCACGGAGGTGGCTGCAGGCGGCGGCGGCCCGCCCGCGCCTGCACCCGGTGGCGGCACCGCCACAAAGACTTGCGGCTCGGGGGAAGCCGCAGGCCTGCACGGCAATGCCAGGACGTGATCAGGGCCAAACCAAGGGCGTGTGGTGTGTTCTTGAACGCAAGAGGGAAGGAGGCTGCGCGGCGAGCAAGAGGGCAACTCGCCTGCCCTCCCCGCCTCCCGTCAGGGCTGTACATCTCGGCCTTCGCCTCCTGGAGATCCCCAAATGCCGCCATTGCGTGGGCGACACCCGTGCGCAAGCAACCCAGCAAAGCGAAGGCAAGACCGGGACCTGCCCGGCTCCTGGCCGGGTAAAGACGTCCACCATACCTAGTTAAAACGATCGGCAATTTCGGGAGCGCGCAATGTGATGCTGCTGTGCATGCTCCCGCCGCGCCCAGCAGCACCGGAAGCCGCCGCCCCGCCAGTTTGTGGTTGAATTGCTGTGCCCATCGCCGTGCTCCCGAGGCAGACACCAGAAGGTTACAAAGCCTGGGCAAGGTTGGAAAAAACTGCCAAAAGGGCAACGGAGGGTGCACAGGATGGCTCACGCCGATAAAAACAGAGGGCTGAGAATGCGAGTACAATGGTGTAATGATGGAGGCATGAATCAGGGGTAGGGAATGAATGAATGAGGAGAGGATAGAGTGGAGGCCACTCCACAAAACATGGGACAGATGTAGACAGATGGGCGAATCACTCACGCTCTACTCGGTGCGCTGCGGGAGCGCCGCCGCCACGTACATCTCCTCGGGCTGCTGCTGCTGCTGCAGGGAGGAGGACCGCGCCTGCAGGGAGGGCTGGCTGGTGCTGGGGCGCAGCATGCTCGCCAGGGCCACGCGCCAGGAGCGGCGCCGCCTCATCGACAGCATCACATTCAGCTCCTGGATCGTCTCGGACGCCTTCTCCCCCAGCGTCTCGGGCAGCAGCACCGCCAGGAACGCCGCCGCCAGGCACAGGCAGCCCAGCACCAGCAGCGGCACAAAGCCGCTGCGCAGCTGGTACTGCAGGAAGGCAAAGAGCGGCGAGACGCCCGCGCCCAGCCGGGCAAACACGTTGGCGGCTGCCAGCCCGTGCTCACGCACCATCAGCGGAAACAGTTCTGCAAGCGGGGATAAGGGAGTGGAGGGGGTACCGAGATTCGGACCGTGATTGGGGTCGAGGCCGCGTGACAGCAAGGCGCAGGGGCAGGCAGCCGGGCAGCTGGGCAGGCCCAGCCCGCCGACTCACCAGCGGTGTGAAGGTACAGGGACGCAAACGCCGCTGCAAGGCCAAACCTGGCCGCCACCACCAGCGCCCTCTGGGCTGTGCCGCGCGCCAGCGCCGACACAACCAGGCACACACCGGCTGCAGGCGGGTGGTGGTGGTGGGGGTCCGCGGCAACAAGCAACGCTCTCGATGCAGAGCACGACAGCTGCTGGGATGGCTGGGGGGCATGTGAGCCGACGGACCGTGCGAGTGTGAGGCAAGGCAGGAGGCTGGGGCAACCGGCTCCTCCCCGCCTGCCACCCGCCAGGTTGCCACCCACCCACGCACCCACCCCCTCACTCGCCCGCCTCCCACCCACCCTGCAGCAGCGCTGCCAGCGTGGTTGCCTTGCGCCCCGCCCGCTCCACCGCCAGGCCCGCCGCCGCGATGCCGGGCACCTCGTAGGCAAAGGCTGACAGCAGCGTGACGTAGACGGAATCGTCGCTGGAGGCGCCGCCGCCGCTGATGCCGTCGGCCATGAGCAGCAGGCCGTAGTAGGCGGCGGCGGCGGCAAACCAGGCGCCGCCCAGCAGCACCAGGCGGTGGCGCAGGCGGCTGGAGCCCAGCACGTCGCGCAGGCTGCGCTGCAGGCGGGGCAGGGCAGCGCCAGGCATGCCAGGGCAGGCATGTCGAGGGAAGACTGCAGCTGGGGGTGTGCTGCCAATGCTGTTGCTGCACCAAGACGCAGGAGGCACACTAGAGCGCTAGCAAGCCGCCAGCCGCACCTGCGTGTTGCCCAGCACCGCCGTGGGATCTGCCAGCGGATGCTCCGGCGGCCGCGTGCCGTTGGCAAACGCGATGGCAGCCAGCGCTGCGGTGGCCTCGCCCTGCACGCCGGCAAGCATGGGCAGGGGGAGGAGCGGGGAGGTCACATGCGTGCTGCAGGCAGCCGAGGAGAGCAGGGCGCTTGTGCTGTGCAGCAGGATGCAGCGCCGAGCCGGGTGGCTCCACACCAGCCCGGCAGCGGCGCGGGCTGCCGCGAGATCGGCGGCAACCGGGGCGCGGCACGTGCGGCGCCGCACCTTGCGGCCGTGCAGCAGCAGCCACTGGGGGCTCTCTGTGACCAGGGACCAGGTGGCCAGGTAGGCCAGGGAGAGGAGGCCGCACAGGAAGGTGAGCCAGCGCCAGCTGGGCACCCACCACGCCAGCAGCGTGGCCGCGCAGGCGCCCACTGCGTGCGGGGGCAGGGCAGGGCAAAGGAGAAGCCATCGATGTGCTGCCGGCGGGTGCAGCTACGAGCCAGCACCACCACCACACGCGCAGCCAGGCGCCCACCCGAGAAGAAGTGGTTGATGAGGAGGCCCACAAAGCCGCGCCAGCCGGGCCCCGCCAGGTCGGTGGCCAGCACAAAGGCGGCCAGCGCCATGCCGCCGCTGGCGGCGCCGCTGGCGCAGCGGAAGGCCAGGTAGGTCCAGAGGGAGGGGGCGGTGGAGGCCATGAGGCTGGCCACGCCGCACAGACCAGCCCCGGTGTACAGCAGCCGGCGGCGGCCTGCGGCAGGGCGGCGCAGGGTGTGGGGCAAAGGGGGTAGAGGCACAGAGCGTGGAGGGCCGCGGCTGCAGCGGCGAGTGACGATGCACAGCCAGGGGTGCAGGCAGGTGAGGGGTCTGGCCCGCTGTGGGTGGCAGGCGCCCACGTGCCGCGCTGCGCAGCCCGCTGCGCAATCCGCCCCGCCCCGCCCCTCGCACCGTATCGCTCGGCAGACACCTGCCACGCCACACACCCCGCCAGCAGCGAGACGAAGTATGCGGAGGTCTGGAAGTAGAGCAGCCAGCGGCGGCTGCAGATCAGGTCGAACTCGGAAACCAGGGAGCCGCCCCTGCACAGCGCGGGAGGCAGGCAGGCAGGGGGCGGTTGGGGGCGCCACGCCTGCCAGGCCGCTGCACCAGCAGCCAGCACGGCATGCCCCTGCTGCCGCGCATCCCAGCCCTTTGTCCCGCACCACACACTCACGTCTCCCTCCACTGCCAGGCCTCACGCGGCAGGCTGCAAACGTTGCCCTGGGCCAGGGCGGCGGTGCAGGCGGCATCGTCCGGCTTGACGCACACCACCTCGCCGGGCCGCCGCAGCGGGTCGAAGCAGGACGTCACAGTGGCCACAAGCGTGTGCAGCGCCGCCAAGCACCAGGAGGCGCCGACCTGCACATTGCACAAGAGGAGGGCAGGCCAGGCCCGGCCCGGCATTGCTCGTGGTCTGCAGGCGACCGAGTAACCGCGGCGGGCGCCCTACCGCCACCGCCGGCTGCTTTGTGGCGGGGGCGCTGCTCCGGGAGCTCAGGCAGAGCCCCAGAGGCGTGGCGGAGGCTGGAGGAGGCGAAACTCACCAGCAGGAGCTGCAGTTGTTGGCCGCGCGAAAACTCGCCACAGGCCGTGAGCGCCTCATCCACCGACAGTTGCACCTGCCGCTGCGAGTGATCGAGATCAACCACAGGCATTCTAGGCAGCTATTGCAGACGCCAGGGGAACCAGCATAGCCAGGCGAGCAGCGGGAGCGTTGGCAGTGCACTTGGATCGATGGCACTAGGCTAAGGACTTGAATGCTGCATGGGGTCCCGGTTTCAGTTGACGGGCTTCCCGCCACCTGGAGGCGCCACCAAGAACAGGACGCGTGTCACCACTTGTGCGCTCCTTCAATCGGTTGCACATCTGCATTTTCAATCCATACCTCGCTAGGCGGCCGGAAACCACCGCCTGCGCACATGCAGACGGATGTGGATACACCACTCTTTGTTGAGGCAGGCATGCAGCTCGAGGGCCCAGAAGACGCTGAAATGGGCGATGAGGGTGAGCACAGCTGCTACGAGCGAGGGGAACGCTGCCGGCAGCAGGTCCCGCCCCGCCGCCGCCGGTCGCCGCCCGTCGGTGCCCACTCCCAGCTCAGGCGCTGGTGTTGGCCATGCAGTGACGGAGGAGGAAGGCGTGTATGTGGAAGAGGGGGAGGAGGAGGAGGTCGAGGAGGGCGAAGAGGAGGAGGAGGAGGAGGGCAGCAGCAGCGAGGAGGACGACCGGCGCGAGTTTGGCATCTATCAGTGCCTGCCCGTGGAGGCGGGGGAGCCCCGCTGGGAGGAGGGGGAGCCGCAGACGGTGGAGGAGTACCTGAGGCGCGTCAGGTGCGCACCCCCGCCTGCCTGCGTGTGTGCAGGGGGAGGGGCCGCGGCGTGCATGCTGTTCCGGGTGCAGGTGGGGCGCGGCGCCATCCCTGGCTGCCCCGGATGGACGTCGGGGCCTGCCTGCCTGGTGCGCTGGCGCCTCTCTGCCTCACATCTTGCTGCACACACACCACGATCTATCTCGCCAAAGCCCCCGCAGGTACGAGGCGCGACAGCTGCCAGACGTGTCCGCCGCGCCGCCGCCGCCGCCGGCAGCAGCAGCCCACCGCCAGCAGCACGCGGCCGACGCCCCGCACAGCCAGCGGCAGGACGCGGAGCGGCAGCGGCAGGAGCGGGTGCAGTGCAGGGAGCACTACAGCAGCGCCTACCTGGCGGCTGACCCGGGGGTGGCGCCCTGCCACCCCTCGCTCAAGCCCAGCGCCGCATGGACCCGAGACTTCCTCCACCAGTTTGCCCAGCTGCGCCGCCGGCTGCAGAGGTGTGTGGGTGGGGGTTGCAGGTGGGGGCCTGTGTTTGAATAGTGTGGGGAAAATGGGGGTCTAAACGGTCAGCGGGCTGGGCGTGCTGCTGCTCGCTGTGTGGCGTATCACTGCCGCCGTGCATGTGGGATTGGCTTCTGCAGAGCTTTATGTGCTGGGCTAAATGGTGTCACACCCCATCCCCTGCTGCGCCGTGGCGGGGTGTGCAGGGAGTATGAGCTGAGCAGCGCGCAGGCAGCGGCGGGGCTGGCGGGCGGCGACGGCGGCCCGGATGCGGCGGTGCAGGCTGAGCTGGCGGCGCTCAGCCTGGACCCGCCCTCGGCCTGCATGCCGGAGCTGCAGCAGCTGCAGGGGCTGGACCAGGTGCATCAGCAGCTGCCGGGCCAGAGGGGGCTGGTCCTGGCAGGCCTGCGGATACCATGGCACCTGGCGGGCACGGCGGCGCACCGTACCTGCTGGCCTTGTTGTCCTGCTAGGGGTCCTTCACACCCTACGGCCAGCCCTGTGTTTCCATGCCGGCTCCATGCCCCCCCGCTGCGCTCCCCTCCCCGCCCGCGCAGCTCCAGGTGCGGCGCCAGCTGCACAGCGCCATGCGCGAGGCGGTGCGGTGCGAGCGGCTGGCGCCCGAGGCGGCGGCGCACCTCTACGCCCTGTCGGCACGCATAGAGAAGCCGCTGCATGCAGGTGCGTGCGCCCGGCTGGGCCACAGTGGGCCGAATGGCGGTGCAGCCACCCCACGTGTCTGTGCCCAGGCTGGAGATCCCGCTCCCCACATGGGCGGCTCCCCTGGCTGTCGCCCCTCTGCCCCTCCACCACCCTGCCTGCCCGCTCCTCTTCCCTGCCTGCCTGCCCGCCCGCAGGCACCTGCGCGCTGTACCGCCAGCTCCTGCGCCTGTGCGCGCAGCAGCGAGCGGCGCTGTGCGTGGATGCGGCGCCCGCCGACCCGCTGCTGCCGCACCTCAACATCCTCATCACCCTGGCGGGCGCCTTCTTTGGGCAGGACGAGGAGCTGGCGGCGATGTGGGAGGAGGACGAGGAGTGAGGGCTGCGCGCACACTTTGCGGCGCAACTGCAATTTGGTCAGGTGGTTCCTAGGTTCAGTTCATGCATTACAGTCGGGCTCACTACCCGTCAAATGCGTGTCACGGATCGCTCGCTCACAAATCAAATCGCGCAGTGCTGAAAATCAAATGAATGAAACGGATGGAAAGAGGGCGGCGGCGGGTGGCGCGCCCAGACAGACGGGAGGAAGGTGCCAACGCAAAGGCGCAACGAGTCCCCTCTCCCCTGCGTCAGTTGAGGGGGAAGGTGGGGGCCTGACGGCCGCGGTACGCCGCCTCGTACAGCTGGCGGGGAAGGAAGTCCTTGTACGGGTCGCGCTGGCGCTGGCGCTGCAGCCAGGCCAGCCCATCCTCCACCGACTGGCGGGTGGCGCGGTACAGCTCATCGCACCGCTCCCGGTCCTGCAAGGCAGGCAGGCAGGTGAGGGGCGGGTGGGCAGGCAGGGGCGGGCGCGAGGAACGGGTTGGGTGGGGGCAGGCGGGAATGGAAACAGCCGGTGCCCCCACCCCAAGCAGGCAGGCACAGCCACCGCAGGGTGCCTGCACCACACCCACCAATGCCCAAGCACAGGCAGCACAACACACCTGGAGGTCGTCGGGGCTGGTGTGGATGGGCTGCTGGAACAGGAAGTAGAGGCGGCCGGGGGGCAGGCGCGGCACTGCCAGCGGCGCCACAAACGACTCCTCCTCGCCAGATGCCGACACGCCGCGCCGCGCCTGCAGGGGTAAGGGGGGGGGCGCGTGCGTGGCGGTGGCAGGCGCGCAGGCACGGCGGCGGCGTGAGAGGCGCCTTGGAGCTGACAGGCACACTTGTTTTCAAGGTTGGAAGGAACGCCAGCAGGAGGCCGGCAGCAAGTTGAGAGCGCCGCCCCCCCCGTGGCCTCTCTCAAGGCGAGCTATGCCCCCGGTGCGGGCGCCCCGCGGGCCAGGCGTGCGCCGCGGCCGCACCTGGGGCAGCCCGCCCGCGCGGCGGCGCAGCATGTCCCCCACCACCGGCATCGCCTCCAGCTGCTGGCTGTCCGCCAGGATGTTGAGCGAGTCGTCCACGCCCACGGCAGCAAAGGGGACGATGGTGGCGCCGAAGCGTGCCGCCATGCGGATGAACTCTGCGGGGGGAGGGAGAGGGAGAGAGTGAGTGTGTAGGGGTGGGTGGGGTGGGGGAGTGGGTGGGGGGCGAGCGTTTGTGTCCGGTGCGGGCTTCGCATGATGGAGAGTTGGGGAGGCACCCCGGCACCCTGGCGGCAGGGAGCACCTCGCCTGCCACCCTGGCACGACAGGGCTCGGGGCGCCGCGGCGTTTCGCGAGAGCCGCAGCGTGGCGTTTGGGCTGCCAGCGGCTGCCTGGCCACCCGCCCACCCACCCCAGCCGCCCACCCGCCCGCCCACGCACCCGACTTCTCCGGCCAGAACAGTCGGTACTCCTCGCCGCGCCGCTTGTACGCCTCGCGCACGCCGCCCGGGAACAGCAGCACCGACTCGCCGGCCTGCAGCAGGCGGTGCATGTTGAAGGCGGAGACGGGGACGGCGCCAAAGGTGGTCATGAAGTCGCGGAAGGCAGACCTGGGTGCGGGGGGTGGGGTGGGGGAGAAGCTGGGTCACATGGGCGGGAGTGTGTGTGTGTGTTGGTGTGGGAGCGGGTGGGGGAAGGGAGCCGGTGGAGGCAGGGAGTGTGCGAGGCAGACGGCTAGGGAGGCAGCTAGGGCAAGCGCTGGCGAGGAGGCAGGCGGGAGGGGTGTGAATGGCTGGCGGGCCTGCATCGCAGAGCTGCTTGCCCAGGGCTGCTCACCTGCCGTCGGTGGCGCCGCTGCCGCCGCTGCCGCCTGAGCTCCTGCTCCTGCTGCTGCTGCTGCTGCTGCTGTCCCCGCCAAGCATGCCTGCACGAGGAGGGGCTCTTGTGATTGCACATGTGTCTCCAGGTGTCGGGGTCTCGGGCAAGCTTTCCCCCCGAGAGACCGGCAAGCAGAATGGCTGGCGGGTGACAGACACGCAGCTGGGCGCTGCCGCCACGCAGCCTCACCACCACCACCCAGCTCCCCCTCACTCTGCAGCGCGGCCCCAAAGCCGTTGATGGGGTCCCAGGCGGGCAGCCCGTCGGTGCCGCCTCCCGCGGCGCCGGCGCCGGCCCCCGCGCCCGCGCCGCCCGCCTGGCCACCCGCCTGGCCGCCCTGGGCGCCGTCCTGAGCGCCGCCGCCGCCGCTCATGGTTTGGGCGAAGATGACTGGGTGCGCCAGGCCGCGGGGCAGCACCCCCTGCTCCTTCAGGAACTGCTCTGTGATGACCCCCAGGTCCAGCGCCAGCGTCTGGTGGTTGCCCACCAGCAGCAGCGGGCGGCCCTCGGGAATCTGGCCCAGGCCCAGGCTGCAGGCGGGGAGGGGCGGGGAGGGAGGGTGGTGCGGCGCGGCACGGCGGGCGCTGTGTGGTGCGTGGTGGCAGGAGGGGTGACCGGGCAGGGGCCACAAGTGTGCACAGGGTGCATGCATCAAACAGTAACACTGGACTGGACACTGCGGCTGTGGCTGGACCGGTGTGGTGACACGTCTGCTGAGGTGGGACAGGCAGGCGGGCAGGCAGGCGGGCAAGCAGGCACGCCAGCACACCTGCGCCTGCCATCGGCGCCCGTGGAGATGAAGACCGGGCTGGACAGGCGGCGGCCAAAGGCGGTGGTGCGCTCCGCATACCTGCGCCGCCGCCGGCAAGCAAGCACGCACTCAAGTCGGCTCCCGCCTCTGCTGGCCGCCGCTGGGCAGTGGCCCTGGGCGAGCCTGGCAGCCCCCCCACAGCACCTCCCTGGTCCCGTGCAGGCGCCACACGCAGCTGCGCCACCCCGACGTCTCCGCCGCCACCACCGCCGCCAGCCACCTCCGCCAGCCGGCTCACCGCTCTATCTCGCCAGGCGTGGGCAGCTCAATGGGCGCCGCCACGCCAAAGCCCGCCACCGAGCGCTTGCTGGAAGGGGGGGTGAGCAGCCGGTTGGGGGAAGGCGGGGCGCGGTCAGGGGCCCAGCAAGCGAGCCCGGGTGCAAGCCCGGCAGGGTGCGGCCCAGGCAGGCACAAACGCACATACATGGAAGAAAAATGTGGCTGGTCGCGTGCCCCAGGCTGTGCCCCACAGGGATCCCGCACTGCCCCTACCCCTGCCCCGTGCCCCGTGCCGCCGCACCTGATGGGCGCCGACATGCGGCGCAGGGGGGTGTAGAAGCCCTCCTCCTGCAGGATAGCCGCCAGGTCCACGCCGCCCTCCTGAGCAGCAGGGAGCAGGCAGCGTGCTGTGTTGCAGCCAGGGCAGCATGCGGTTGGCTGTGCATGGGGCAGTGGAGGCAGAGGGAGGGAGAGAGGCTGGAGGGCGTTGGTCGTGCTTTCCCTGGACTCAACAGGCGGTGTGCTGGCGGCTGGTGGGGCGAGGCGGGCGGCACGCACGCGGCCGGCCCCGCCAGCGGGCGACTGCCCGGGACAGGCTGGCAGTAGCAGGCGGGGCGGCGCACCTGCAGCAGCGCGTGGCTGCGCCCGCGCTCCACACGCAGCTGGGTGCGGGGCAGGGCGGCCTGCAGGCGGGCGCCCTCCTCGCCGCTGGGCAGCAGAAGATCCTGGTCGCCCACCTGCACAGCAGCAGCAGGGCAGCACAGCGTGCCAGCTCAGCACAGCGTGGTGGGCGCGGGCACGGGCGGGGGGGGCGCCCGCGCCGAGCGCAGAAGAAAGGGTGGGCGCGTGCGGGTGGCGGCGCCGGCCCGCCCCGGCACTTGCCAGCAGGAAGCATCGCTGCTGGATGGTGGGCAGCAGCGGGTCCACATAAGCGCTGCCCTGGCGCAGCAGCTCCAGCTTCCAGGCCAGGGTGTCTGCAGGCGGGCGGGGCGGGCCCACATGAGCGAGCGTGCAATGTGTGTAGCGAGGCAACAGGGGTGGGGCCGATGGCCAGAAGAGAGCCGCGCAGATGGCAGCACATGCAAGCGGGGCCAGGGCCAGCACAGGAGGGGGCTGCCAGGGAGCAGGGGCAAGGGGCCGGGAGGCGCACCCGCAGGCAGGATCTCGGCCAGCACCGGCAGCTGCTGCAGCAGGTTGGTCGCCGTGTCCACCAGCGCCGCCGCCTGCTGCCCCACGCTGGCGCCGGGGCTGCGGGGGCAGATGGGAGAGAGGCACAAGGGGAGGAGGGAGGTCGGTGCCATCGTCAGCGCACGCACCGCCAGCCTCTCAGAGGAGTGCTGAGGAGCAGGCCATGCCAGTCAGCGCCGTCCAGCCCCCACACCCCCTTCCCTTCCTCTCCCCTGCCTGCCCACACCTGGCATCCAGCCCCGCCAGCAGAAGGTTGATGGGGTTGCCCAGCACAGGCGCCAGCGCCAGCGGCAGCGCGCGGTACAGCTCAGCGGGCACCTGCGGGGGCGGGCGGGGGCGGCGGCCACGCCCAGCAGCGGCGCGTCAGCGGTGCACGCGGGCAGGGGCGGGCGCTCCGCGCGGCCTGCTCGCCGGCGCCGCACAACACACGCTGCCCCTCGTGGCTGGCGCGCGGGCGGCGCCTGCTGTGCCCATGAGCGCGTGCCTGGGGCAGGAGGGGCCCTATGGCGGGCCACAGGGAGCTGCTGAAGGAGGTGGCGGGGTTAACCAGCACCAGCCGGTCCACCAGGGCAGGCACCTCTGCAGCGGGTCGGGACACGCGCAGGGAGATATGGGCTGGGTGCGGGAGGTTCCAGGGGGAGGCAATGCCCAGGTGGCGGCGCCGGGCGCGGCAGGGGCGGCGGGGCGCTCCGGCAGCCAGGACGGGCAGGCAGGCAGGCAGGGAGGCAGGTGGGCAGGGCAAAACGCTTCTGCTCGCCTCGCCCCAGCACCACCGCCACCGCCACATGCCCACCCACCCACACACACACACACACATTGAGTCTCCCTCTCTCCCTCTCCCCTCCTCCCTCCTGCCCCCCCACCTGCGGCCACCGCCAGCGCCAGCAGCCCTCCAAACGACTCCCCCAGCACATACACGGGGCGGGTGGGGGCGCATGCGGGCACCTCGGCGCGCAGAAAGTCGGCCACCAGGCGCACCAGCTCTGGAAAAGGGGTGCGGTCCTGCGGCGCACAGGGCGGGCAGGGCAGGTGTTGTGGCGCCAGCAGCAGTGGGCAGGAGGTCGTCGCACCATGGTCGACAGGTGCAGCGGCGGGCGGCCCTGGCAGCCGCAGGCGGCGGCGGCGGCGGCGCGCGCCCACCTGTGGCGGCGTCACAAACGTGCGCATGTCAAACTTGGTGAGCAGCGACGGGAACTGGCGGGAGGCGGCCAGCCCCGTGCCGTCGATGCCCGGCAGGTAGAGCAGCAGCGGCAGGTGCTCCCGCCCCGCACCGCCAGGCTGCTGCTGCTCGGCGTCGGCGGCCGCCGCCAGCGGTGTGCTGGGGTCCAGCAGCGATACCACCCGCGGCGGGCCATCCCCCATCTCCAGCACCGCCTGAAGGCGCATCCTGTGCGGCCGGCTGCGGGACGGTGTGCCGCGGGACGTGCCGGCAGCGGGAGCAGCAGCAGCGGCTACCGAGGAGGGGGCTGGGCTGGTGCGGCTGTTCGCAGCAGTGGGCAGAACGGCATTGGCATCGAGCGGCGAGGTGCCGCCATCGACGAGCACCGTGTCGGCGGCGGCGGGGGAGGTGGCGGCGGAGCCAGCCTCTGCTGCAGGCTGGATGGTGGCAACTGTGCTGGATGCTGGGGTGCCGAGGACGGCACCCTGGCCGCTGTCAGCCGCGCTGTTGCTGTTGCTGCCTTCGCCTGGGGCTGCGGCAGCACGGGGCCTGGCGGCGCCGCCCAACCGCTGCCGCCGCTGCCGCCGGTGGGCCACGGCCTTCACCGCTGGTTGCGCCAGCTGCGCGGATCTAGCTGCTACTCCTGCGTAGTGCAACATTGTGTGGTGGTAACCACCAAGCGCACAGTTCAAGAGGGCCGAGGCAGGAGGGGTGCAAGTGTGGGGAGGCAGAGCAGCCTGTGGCCCTGATTGCAAAAATTCACTGGTCAGGGAGGCTCAATTGGTGAGCTACCATCGGCTGCCTCATTTATTTTTGCCTGGAAAGGCGTGCATGGGGCTGCCTGGCTGTTGTTAGGGACGCTCCTGCTCGGATCGGCCAGTTCTGGCATTTTGCGGCCTATTCGTTGTTTGCCAGTGCGGGCACGCTTGTTACTGACCCTTCAAAGGGTGTCCCGGCGCACGTCCAGCTGAGTTCTCGCTGCTCCCTCTATCGTGCCGCATCCCACTCCTTCCCTCGCCTCCCCGGCTATTTGGGTCTTCGTGAACACCACCCGAACTAGCTCCTCCAACTTGCTGCCAAACATCCGGCATCCACTTCCGTCCCGAAGCACAGAAGGACTCGGCCACGGGCGCACGGGCTCACTGCGGTCTGCGACAAACCGAGTCTGGCTGCGCGTCCATCCAGAAGTCTGAGAGCTGTCGATTTGCCAGCGCGGGAAACCCACGTACTCATCCCCGACAGGAACACACTAAACAAACCATGCTAGCTCCTCGGTCCCTGATGCCGGTGAGGCGCAGGCTGGGCGAGGCCGCCCTGCAGCGGGCGGGTTTGCTGGCACCGGCCGCTCCCGCTTGCACCGCCCCGTTGCACAACCTCGGCGCGCTCGCTGAACACACCCGGGGCGCAGCTGCCTTGGCCTCCCTGTTGACGCCCTGCGGTGCCGCTGGCTGCAGGGGAGTCCCCGCACAGCCGCGCAGAGGCGCCGGCTGCGCCTGGTGCTGGCGGGAGCTTCCGCGCTGGCCGCTGTCGTGTTGCTGGTGGCCCTGGAGGGCATGCAGCGCACGGCCTTCACGGCAGCTGCCAACCCCGCCTCGCTGGGCCTGCCCGCCGACACCGCTGCAGTGGCAGCAGCGGGCGGCAGGGAGCACTTTTGGACGCGGTGGGAGCGGCACCTCAAGGAGCAGGAGCAGCGAGTAGGGCAGTGGCGGGAGCGCCAGCGCCGCGTGGTTTACGAGGAGACGGCAGCAGAGGAGGCAATGGTGGCGTCCAAAGTTGGCACGGCTGGCGCCGGTGCGGAAGCTGGTGGCGACGGCGCTGGCGGGGCTGCCCTGGCAGTGGAGGGCAACAGCGGGGAATCGGCAGCCGCCCAGCGTGCAGCAGCTGTGCTGGCCTCGGCTGCCCGCGTTGCGCACGCTGCTTCCTTGACAGCAGATCAGGACCAGTAGCCGGCAGAGTGCGGCCAACATAGTGCCAGGTGAGTGCAGCCGGTGACTGTGCCCAGCACAAGCACTGGCCGCTTTGCCTGTCTGCATGCCGCTCGCTTGTCGCATCACTGCACTGCCCTCCCGTCTGCGCTGCGCCTGCAGTTTTAGATCTTCATCAAGGCTTGAAAGTTCCCCCAAGCCCGGTGCTCTGAGATATTGAGCGTCGCGCTAATCGTAGCTGAGCAGCATTCCCATCCCACGAGTATTCTGATCTTGCAGCGAGTATGCCCGTCATTGGACACCAGCAAACGTAGACCCAACCAGAGCATTAGTGCAGAAGTTAACCTACAGTGTGCCGAAGCACAGTGGCTTTGCCGCTGTGACGCGGCAGAGAGATTAGACAGGCACCCCAAGGTAGCTGGACTTCCCAATTTGCTGTTTCGGCCCCTACCTGAAATGTACTGTCTCTGGAATTGCCATCGTACAAAGAGTGTGCTCTGCAGCAATACATGAGTGCTGTTCCATTTCTTCTCCCATTTTCTTTATGTGCCTTGCTTCGTACAAACTGGTACAGCACAATGTTAGCCGTTTTGAGTACAACAAACACCAGCAAACAATTGACCTACCCTACATTGCCCAACGTCTCCTCCCCTCTGTCCATTCCCCCATCTGATTCCTTTTGCCACATGATGTAACCATTACAGATACTGGCAGACAAGCAGCTTTACTGTTTGCCTGCTGCCGACTGCTGGGGCTGCGCTTGTTGCTGCTGCTGCCGCTCCACCATCACCGGCAGGCCGCCTGCCAGCGCCGCCTCTATCCTGCAGCCAAGCAGCAAGCTGGTGACCGGGCAGCAGGTCAAGTCGCCACACCTCATGACCACTTGCCCCTTCGCCAGCCAAGCGCAAGGCGAGCAGGCACGCCACCCACCGCTTGCGCTGCACGTCGTCCTGCTTGGATTCATACTCCTGCCACTCGGCGTCGCTCATCTGCATGCATGTGTGTGCACCAGGGGCGGCAGCGCAGCGCTGTTGGCACAACAGAGGCGGCCATGGCCCTACCAGCTACAGTTTGTGGGCCGTGGCCGGCCCTGCCTGCCCACCTTTCGTACGGGCAGGTACTTGTGCCACCAGGGCCGCGGCACCGGAGGAGTGGCTGCTGCTTGTGCCGCCGCCGCTGCCGCTGCTGCTGCCGCCGCCGCGCTGGCCTGCTGCTGCTGCTCCAGCTGCTCGGCTGTTTGTGGCGGCGGGTCCAGCAGGTCGAGGCTGATGAGCAGCTGCTGCACGCCGCCTGCCGCATCCACCCGGGCAGACAGCAGGTGCGCGGCGCCGCCCAGCGCGGCGCAGATGACGGCACCTGGCACGCCCGACTGGCCTGCAAGGCAGGGGGCACGGGGTGGAGGCGGTGGAGGCTGGTGAGAGTCTGGGAGATTGGGGCAGAGGGGGAGGGCATGCCGTGCTCGGAGCAGGCAGGCAGGCAGGCAGGCAGCCCCAGGCCGGGCCCGCCGCAGTGCTCACCGTGGGATTTGTACAGCAGCGCCCCCGTGGCCGCGCCTGCCAGCACGCTGTTGGCGGGGCTGTCGTGGCACCGCACCAGCCGGCTGGCCTCCTGGACCGCTGCAGCAGTGGCGGCAGCACAAGGGCGCAGTCGTGGGCAACCGAAACGCCCACACAGTGTGGCAGGCAGGCAGAGGTCAAGTGGCTGGTGGCATCAGAGGGGCAGGCTGGCTGCCTGGCGGCTCACCTGCGAAGCAGCCGGCCAGCATGAGGAAGGAGGCGGTGGAGGCGGCGGTGAAGCGTGCCACCGGCTGCTGCTGCAGCACCGCCAGCACGCTGCCCACCGCCACGCCCGCGCCGCCTGCAGCATGGAGACAGCACATGGGTCAACGGCGCCCGCGTCAGCAAGTGGAACCGCTGCAAGCGTGCTGGCAGGGCACCGCCGCCGCTGCACATGCACTTGGCCCCTGCCTGCACACCTGCCACAGCAAGCTTGGTCGCCATGCGATCCTCCCACCCTGCCACCTCTGTGCACCGTGTTTTGCCCCACAGAAAGCCCATCGGCAGCCAGTTCGTGGCGTGGTTGAAGGGTGAGAAGCTGTGCAGCGGCCCCCGCCTAGCCAAGGAACTCTCAACATTGGTTGGAGGGAGTGCACGATGTCCAATTGCAAAACAGGGCAGCATCGGCGACACACTGCCCTCCCTTTCCTTCCTCTCGTCCTACCTGGACCTCTAGTAGCGCCATCGGACCTCTTTTCGACCTTTACTTCAATGCTCTGCTCTACCAGAAGGCTGGCCAGCCTTTTGCCAGCCCTGGTGGGCGGCGCCAGGGCCGCTACAGCCGCATGCGACTTGGTTCTGCGGCGACCCTTACCTGGAGAAGGTGGCAGGCAGCAGAGCAGCCAATCAAGCGCACCGAGTGCCGAGGCAGCACCGGTAGACGAGTCCTGGTGGCGCGAGGTACAAGCCGCCGGTGACGACGGCGAGGAGGAGCCGACGCAGCATGGCAGGCGGTTTGTGCGGGTGGATGCCCCCATAGATGCGCACCGCACCTTGAATGACTACCGCAAGATGGTGTTCGCGCTGTCGCAGCGCAAGCGGTGCGCCGCCGCGGCCGCCCCACCTGCCTGCTGCCTGCCAGTCTCTTTTCCAACAGAGGGCCCCTGTGCTTGTACAATGCTGGTGGCCAGTGGGCACACGCTGGAGTGGTTTTGTTGCCTGGACGCAGGGCCTACCTCATACGCGACGTGGTGGACGAAATGTCGCTCAACGGCATGCGGCCAGACCGCTTCATACTGCAGACGGGTGGGTGGGTGGGACGGAAACTGCAATGCCCCCTTCGGGGCCCTCTCGTGCGCCCTGCGCTGGGCCAGCCGGCGGCGCGCATGGGCGTGGCGTGGCGTGGCATGCGCCGCCGACAGCTGCGCGCGCGCCTGCGCCCCCTCGCCCCGCGCAGGCCTGTTTTCTTGCATGAAGAGCCGCAAGCTGGGCGATGCCATGTACTTTTTCGAGGAGATGAAGCGGAGAGGCATGCAGCCAGACGTGAGCTCCCGCCCTCGGGCCGGCGCCGCTGCCGCAACCTGCTTGGCGGGCCAGCCCGCTGGTGCCGCTGGTGCCACGGCCCCTGCTGCTGGTGGGCAGCCATGCTGGAAGGCCCAGGCTGTGGGGCAGCGGCGCTGTGGCTGTGGGGCCTGGCCACCCGCACGCACACACGCCACCCCACACCAACAGCCGCACCCATCACCACAACCCCGTCGCGCACCCGCCCACCCCTCCCCACCCCGTGCCTTGCCGCAGAGCTCCGTGTACGGCACCGCCATCAGCGCCTGCGGGCGTGCGGGGCAGCTGGCGCGGGCGGTGGAGCTGCGTGACGAGATGGTGGCGAGAGGCATGGGCATGACGCTCAACATACGCCTGGCGCTGCTGAACGCATTTGCGGGTGGGTGGCGCGCCACAGGGGGGCGGCACCTGTTGGGTCCCGGCGGGGGCAGGGCGGGGCAGGCGCTGGCCACGAGAGCTGGCGGTGGCTGGTGCGGCTGCCGCCGCTGCGTCGTGCATGCTGCGGGCGGATGCGCACCTGCGCTGCCACCGCCTGTTGCAACCAGGCTCGCCTAACCTCCCCTGACCGCCCCTCCCTGCCCCCCCCTTGCTTGGGCTTTCTATTTGTGTTCACGGCCGCGCAGAGGCGGGGCGTCTGCAGCAGACGCGGGAGGCGCTGGCGGAGCTGCGCGCCGCGGGGCACGTGGGCAACGAGTTTGCGTATGCGGGGCTGGCCAACTGCTTCCGCCACATGTCGGAGGTGAGGGGCCGCTCCCACGCTGTGTGTGGTGTGGTGCCAGGAGGGCGCAGGCACGGGTCCTGTGCACCTGCCGCCCTGCATGCTCAGATTGAGGAGTGCCATCACCCCGTACACCCCA